TTCCAGAGTCTTAGTGAGGGCGGGAATGTTGTCCTTATCTGATCTGCATGTTAACATGGAGGAAACAATCCACTGTCAGCGGCTGCTTATGTAAACCAGGCGTGGAGCGCAGGACGAGAGGAAGTGTCAACTTGTGTGCATAAGCGGATTAAAAGTATTTAGTATTCAAGCTGAAAGGTTTTAGTAACAATCACTTACTGATGTTTCAAATTGCAACTAAGGAGGTGACATTAACTAAGAGTTTGAATTTTATACCATAGTGACGCCATGGTATCAGTTTGGAGAGCCTTTTTTGAACGTTATAATATACAGATATGAGCTTTATCAAAATATGACTGAGGTAGAGCTGAAAATAAATAAATAATAATAAATCATTTTGATAAATACCATATAGTTTTAATTTATTTTAAAGCAAAATCAACACAAGAAAAATAAATCTCAGGTTCCAGCTTTTCAAAAAATAATAATATCAAAAGAAAAATGATGTGTGTTATGATAGTAAACAAAATTATTTTCCGCGTTGCTAAATTATTCGGTAGAAAAATGGATAGACAATAATTGTTAGTTTCATCTCTGAACTGCACTGATCGTCATAATAAAAGAAGAAAGGCAATTATATTGGGTAATTGTCTGTGTTAAAGTCACACATCTAAGCCGAAATCTCTTGTTAAATAAATTATTTCTAAAATGACTTGTTTTACAAATACTTTTTATTTGTTGTTTCAGATGATAATTGCTCCATGGGACATTCCCAGTGTTCAGACAAATGCTGGAAAGTACCTACACAATTATAGTTTACTGTAAATGTGTGTGTTTAACCTAATTAAACATATTTAACCAAGCTAAACTGTTCAGCGGCACAGATCCAAACTCCTCTGACAAAAAATACAATGATTTCTTTTCATCCGTCTTTTGAGATCCTTTCCGCAACTGCTCTACAAATAGTACAAATGTTCTGTGGAGATGTGGGCTAAAACAGCACAGTCAGCTCTTACATGTCGAAGGACGTGAGAGAAAGTGCCAGCTACCCTTTCAACAAGTATGAGGGTTGTTATATTGAGTTGCTATCATACTAATATTTAAACAACGCTATCATAATTAATTCTTTAATCAAACTGTAAAATGGTCATCCCCATTATTCCTTGGTATTTTCTCTTCTCTTGCATGTTTGCATGTTTGTGTAAGTATAGCAGTTGTACACCAATACATGGGACATCAAAAATATGACACTCGAGGCATAACATAACAACATAAAACTCAACAACCCCTGTAACGGGGGGAAGAGTGATTTGTCACGTCCTGATTTGCCTCTGCGAAACAAGAGAGGCCGTGTCTTCAGGAGGAGGGTGTGAAGGTTGCCTCCTCCCTCCTCATCCCTCGTTAGTTAGGAATTTGTTTACTCTCTGTCTAGAGCCATGACCTGTAATGGACCACGAAGCCCTCTGGTCAACACAGGATTACCCAAGAGCCTTTCCTCAGAGCGAGGACACTCACTCACACACACACACGCGCACATACACAAACTTCACACTGGGCGATAGGCCACCTAAGCCGCACTGATAACAACCATCACTAATGGCAATTAGCCCATCAGATCCTTGTTAATGCCCAATGACTTGGAGATAGTTTGGGTGAATAATTCTGGGAGGCTTTGGTCAACGTGGCCTATCTCCCTTTACCTCTTTGTTCCCTCTGCCTCTCTAGAGGAGATATGAATCCCTACTCAAACAATAGCAAATGACCATTTCCTCACAGTTTGTCAGCAGGGGTGTGGTTTTAGGAAGTTGGTTAATGAGTGCTTTTAAATGTATGACATGCAAAAACAGAAATGCAAAAACAGAAATGCATACGCCACGAGCAGAAAGAGGTGCTGACTAGGGGAAGAAGGAAGCACTAGTTCCCTAAAACACTTCCTTAAAACCAGGCCCAGAAGTAGATAAACTCAGTGTTAAACTGGGATTAGGACTAATTAGAAATTAGCAGAAACAGACTCCTGAATTATATACAGATACAGACTATAAGACACTTAATTGCATAATCACCGAGAATGTAATCAACCCGGCAGCACCATAACAAGCTCTCACAGCCACTTGCAAACTGTTAATGCCAATGGCCAGTTTTAACAATCACCATTTAGGCATCAGCACATGCAAACACCCACCCTGGATGCTGCTAAACACCAGGAGCCAGACGAGCTGAGAATCTAACCTAAGTACCGAGAGCTCAAGTGGTGATCTTTAAATTGTGTTGCTGTGTGCAGGGTCTCTGCACCTCAGGCTCCATTAGAGGACTTTGTGTTAATCCTGCAGGGATTTTGCCGTCCCCTCACCGCCCCGGGCCTCTATGTGGGAGATAGGACAGCTCAAAGATGGTATGAAGGCTTGGAGGGAAGCCCAAACACTGCTAAAATAACTCACAGGCCCTTTTTCTCTGCATCCCTCCTGTGAGCAAAGACAACACACACATACCTGTTTGATGAATAGGAGTTTCTGCACGGTTT